AAACCCTTAATATGATGGGAACTATAATCTCACATGAAGATCATGCAAGGCTATAAAGCATCCAACTACATTGTGGGAAGCCACCATTTTTGCCACAGAGAATAATGACGGTAGACTCAAAATATAACTAAGAAACATAACAAATCTTTTTGAGCAAGATGATCCTCTTAACTTAAACTTTCAAAAATAGAAGGTTTTGGTTGCAATCAGAGTTAGCGGTGTAAACGAGCCAAACACGAGGCTCGTGCTCGTGCTCGTGTTCGGCTCATTAATAAATATGAGTGTTCGTGTTTGACTCCTTTATATTTCGAACAAAAAAAATTTGTTCGTGTTCGACTCGTTTGCTTAGCAAGTCTAACACGAGCTGTTCACGAACAAAGAGTCGTTTGACAGTCCTAGTCACGCAACCGTAGAGTGTTAAAGATTAGGACGAGATTTAAATCTTATTATTTATATTAAAATATCATTCAAATATAATTTAATATATTTTTATTTTATTTTTTAATTAATAATTTTAATTGATTATAAATCTTTGTAGTCTTGTTGTCAATTAAATTTTTTAAAAATACTACTCATCAATTTTAGCGAACGAATCGAACATGAGCTTCTTAACGAGCTAAACACTAATTGTTCTCGAACAACGAGTCCTTTTGACAACCCTAATCGGAGCAAAGGCTCCTATTATTCTAGGAGTGGATGAAGATAACTTGGTCCAACCATGATCCCAACCTCCTTGAAGTTTTTTTGGGGTTGCCTTTTTATAGTGGAGCAATATCTGGAAAAGTTAGACAATAAACTAGTAGTATTTGTTAAACTAAAACATCTACTTTATATAAATATAGTATTGTATTGAAATTCATTATACTTGTTTAATAAATATATTTACACTATCTCATGTGGTGGAACTCCATAGTTAATTTCCATGAACAAATAGAAATCCAATGGTCATAGGTTAAAGGTAACCTAGATCTTGATTTTATTCCATTGGCCATTCCAAAAATCAATGGATTTGATTGCAACTAATGAGATAGAATTAAGAATAGTATATGAAAGCACACAATAGAATTTTGAATGTAAGTTCTTTTTATTAAGAGTTTCATTACAAATGTGTTCAATTTTTATGAAAGATGTGATGGGCTTGCGTGATGGTCCCTGATGACATCTAAAACTCCTTTGAATCAACAATATTATGAAGGCTAGCTCCAAAGTTATTGCAATTAAAGAAAGAGATAAGATCTAAACTTGGTCTAAAAGGAACTGGTCCAAAGAATGAGAAGGGAAAGAAGACAAATGGTGATAAAAAGATTGACAATCAATTATATTTTTCCCATTATAAATTTAAGAGGCGTGGTAGCTACACATGATGGAGGATCTATCATGAATTGTGTGCTAAGAGAAATGTAGAAAACATGAAAACAATGTCAATTATTAGAAAAGAATAAATTGAGATTAAGGAGATATAAAACTTTGATCCAAATATTGTTTAGAGGGACACAATAAAAGCTATAATAGAGCAATGAGGAACCTTTTCAATTTTGTGTAGGTCAAATAGATTGTTTTACCACCATTTTGAGCGAGGAAGCAAAACAAACCCAGTTTTAGAAGTTTTGGTACAAAGCCATTTGGCTAAAAACCAACTCATACCTAAAAGCCTGCCTCGTGGATTGGACTGGCAAGGAATGAGAGTGCTAGGCTATGGAAGTTTAGAAACTAATATGAGTGTATTCAAGGTTATACAATAGAGAAAACACGATGCGTTCAATCATCAATTAACTCTAAAAATTAGGCCCAATATTGAAAAAATCAAATATAACTCTTTTGGCAACAAGGGGGCAGTTTTCCTCTAGTTTTGTTCCCTCTTGGTATTGGACTACTATTATTTCTACCCAACACCAGTAGTTTCTTTCTCTATTTGGATTGCTATTAATGTATTATTTCCATTGAGCGGAGGATAATATTTTGCTTCTACTTTCCAATATTTGGTACATACTATCTTTCCTACCTTAGCTCATGATTGCCCCTTTTGGTCCACATGCTTGCCTATATAATTGGGTATCGTCACTCTTTCCATGCAATAAGAAATCCATAGGATCCCTCGTCTCTATAATATTCTACTTGTCTTTCTTTCTTTCATTTCAATAAGTTATCAAAGCTATATTCTTTGATCCTTCTTGCCCTTTTACTTCTTTAGTCCTCCATCTTATCTCTATATTGTGTAATGGACAAATACATAATGGCTTTTGATAAGAGCATCTCATCTGACGCCATCTCCAGCCAAGAAGCATTCACTGATGACAACTTTATTGGTAAAGAAAGCTTCTTAAATCTGTTAGTTATTGGGCATGGCTTGACCTTCATTGGCTCATGGTTGCCCCCCGTGGTCTACATGTTTGTCTATATAATTGCGTACCATGGCTCTTTCACTGCAGTAAGAAATCCATAGGATCCCTCGTCTCTATGATATTCTACTTGCCGTTCTCTCTTTTATTTCAATAAGTTATCAGAGCCATATTCTTTAATCATCCCGCCCTCTTACTTCTTTAGTTTTCCATCATATCTCTATATCGTGTAATGAACAAATACATAATGGCTTTTGAGAAGAACTCATTTGGTCAGGAAGCTTTCACTGATGACAACCTTATTGGCAAGAAAGCTTCTTAAATCTGTTAGTTATTGGGGATGGTTTGACCAGACAAAGCTTTTTCAATTGACTTAATCAATTGATATTCATTAGTGATAAAGGAAAACAAGATTACGTCACTACTAGTACCGTTCATTCTTAAAAGGAAGATCCGAGGTTTAGGTCTTAAAAATTTAAATAATATGATAACGCGTGCTCATCAAAATTATCTACAATGAAATTGTTCAAACTTTTATGTTTTATGAGACTAACAAAAAAAATCCAAGATGTTGCAAAAGAAATATGCTCGGAGAATGAAAATACCACCAAGTTACTGGAAATTCCATGATCTTGTCATCAAGGTGATCTCTCTTTTACTCAGTATCATTATGCTCTCACTTGATGTTCCTATCACTAGATGTTTTTGAACAAATCCAAACCACTAACATAGGAACAATAGCTAAAAAAGGTATATATTTAACCACATTTAAATAAAAAAATGAAAATTCTCAATTTTTGATTGTGCATTTGGGTGCATCTAATCATATGATAGGGGATGACTCTTTATTCCATGAAATGCATCATTGCCCCAAGAACTACATTGTAATAATTGCTAATTGACTGTTGCCTTTAAGTAATGGGTATTTACAAAATCTACATCTACGTGCACATGGTTCTAATTTATATTTTCTTGGTTGCCAAATTTTCTCGCTATTTATAATTTAGCAAAAAAAATGTAGAACTTTGTTACTAAAATTTTCCATAATCATTGTGAATTCCAGGATGCTGTATTAGGTAATCATGATTAATTAAGGTTATTAGTTAATGTGAAAATTATAAGTTGGGAATTTTTCTCACTAATATATGCATTTAGAGAATGTCAAAACTGAAAAGAGGGAAATGAAGTGACATATCAAATGAAGTTAGAGAAAACCTATTGAAAATTTATCACTAAAGTTATAAGAGCTCTGCATGCAAGCGAACGAAGGACAATATTTTCTTAAGTGAATTTGGAGACCTAAATGATAAAATACTCCAAAATAATCAATCATATTTGATTACTTTCCTATGGATATAGCAATTCAATATTATTCATCTGTGATGCCATAACATGAACTTTATCAACCATATGCCAGGTTCGATGAACATTCCTACTAAACTTGTTGTATTTATCTACAAGAGCGAAAGCCCAAAATAATCCTTCGACTATCAACAAGTGACCAATTTAGTCCTGAAATTTCAAAGCGCTCCACTTTAGTTCCAAGCTATTAAAAGTTGATTTAAATTAGTCCCTAGGATTAATTTTATGGTCAAAGTTAATACTAACACTTAACTTTGAAGGTCTTTTAGGAATGCAAATTTTAAATAAATTTTTTTATTATTATTCTATTTTCATATGTAACAAATTATTTAGATTTATGAATGAGGGTAAATTTTCCTTTTGTGAAGTAAATAATCAAATATAGTTATCCATCTTTATTGAATTTGAATACTTACTTTATCAATAGAATCAAAATAAGCCCAAAATAGAAAGAATTAATTACTTAAACAAATAGAGTAATAATTAAAATACTTTATTACGTATGAAATAGAGTAATAATAAAAAAAAAATTTTCTCTGAAATTGTTATTCCTAAAGTACCCTCAAAGGTAATGGTTGTTGTTAACTTAGAACCATGAAATTCAACCTACGGACTAATTTGGATCAATTTTTAATAGTTTTGAACAAAATTTGAGTAATTCAAAATTTGAGGTCTAAAGTGGTCACTTGTTTATAGCTGGAGGACTATTTTGGGCTTTTGCTTTTAACTGCAATTTTAGCTTCTCTGCCCCACCTACGAAGCACAAACAATTACGTGGACATGACACATACAATACAAAACAGGAGTGCAATGTAATCGTGAATAGCACAAAAAGCTGTTGAAAGTAATACTAATTGACCCAACATACTCGTCATCTTGATTATAAGCATCTTGGTAAAATGAATGCACTCTTCAAAGTAAACTTCCGTTATTATCAGTAAAAAAAAATCGTTTGTTAAGTTGGCTCATAAAAAAAAAAATTATATTTTCATCATCATCATGTCTTTTGTCTGTGATATGGTGTCTCAACTGTGTCAGGGTGTGTCCTGACCATGTTAGACTATTTTTTCTTGGAATAAAAAAGTATCATACATGATTTTTCAGGTCTCAGTGTTTTGAAATTTCTGTACGCTCTTCATGACCATATTTAACGATCAGTTTGTTTATTGTATACAATCACAAGCATTGTTACATGTTAGTATTTAATTTACTTCCATGCATTCCTTCATATTATATCTCCATACTTGGAATTATTTTTGTTGCCTTTGCAAGTAACTCTTTTTAGTTATTTTCTAACAGGTGAAACTCCACTTATCCATGCGTCTCGTCAAGGACATTTTCATACTGTGAATTATCTCCTTGAACATGGAGCTGATCCTTCAGCTTCTAGTGAATTGGGGGCCACTTCTTTGCACCATGCTGCTGGACTTGGTCTGTTTACTTTTCCTGATGAAACATTAATTTTAATTATTTAGATAAAATTTAATTTTTCATTAACGCATATCTATAGAATCTTGTGTACTTAAATCTGTACACTTTTTTTCTTGTCGCATTTACATACATAGCACCTAATTCCGATGTATTTACATGTATAATACCTAAATATTACTTTTTACATTTATACCACTCAAAATTTTCATAAGTGAAATTAAATACATCTTCCTTATTAGTCTTTAAAAAGTGAAATACATCTTTTCATGCATAGTTAAGGTGGTATATATGTAAAAATTGAAGTTTAGGTGTTAGATATGTAAATAAATAAGAACTAAGCGGTGTGTATGTTAGATATGTAAATAACTCGTTGACACCTTCCTTATTAGTCTTGATCTTCTGGTCTTTCTGCTCGTGAGAAAAGGCGAGGTAATGCTGCATCCTTACAGATTACCTCTTGTTCCGAATCTAAACTGTCCATGATGTTGGTAGGGTCACATCGATACGTATACATGCATTTTTATAGGCATATATTTTGATACTAGACTTTAACAAACTTCCATTGGGAAGCAACTAGTTGTACTGAATTTAAGTCTGAAAATTACAACCAAAAGAATGTGAAAACCTGAAATTGCAAGAAAAGTAACACACAACACTAAACTTGGTGCATCTAGTGTGGAGGTGGTGTCGGCTAGGAATTTGGAAGGTGGCTGCAGCAGGAAAAGGAATTAGCAGGTTGCTGTTTCTGGGTAATCAACCTCAAGTATGGAGGGGGAGAACACAGCCGGTATGCTATTTTAGGTGGGCACCAACAAGTATTGAGTGGGGAGGGGAGCTGGAAAGGCTGGACTAGGTGTTGGAGAGCAGCGACTGAGGACTGACAATAGCTTGGCCGCTGTTTAGGGGGTGACAACAAGGGGTCAGCGGTGAAGATGAAGGGGAGCAATATAAGAAAGAGTGGGGAAGGATAGAAGATTCACACCACCTCAATACTATGATACTGTCAGAGCACCACTAAAAACTCTTGGATACAATCCTGAAAGGGAAATGAAGATGCTCGCAGCTGTTCCGAAACAAACACAACAAAACCTAACCTTAGATACCAATGAAAATAAATAAATAATAAGTCCTAGGATAATTAGCAATGACCTAATTACCATTGGGCGGCACTCTCAAACTGACCAGAGAGATGGCTTACCCTCAGGACATTTGGACCGAACCGATCCAGATACGGACGCCCGCATCAGTCTCCCAAAGTTGGGGGAGCTTCGACCTCATCCGTCGAAGCTTCTGACTCCTCATAATATGGAGTTAGGTCGGCCATGTTGAAGGTAACAAAAATGTTGTAGTCTCTTTTTAAAGTCAATCTTGTAGGGGTTGCGATAGAGACCAAATGCTGCGAATCACCAACGATACACAATTATATGTATCGTCTAAGTAGTATATGGAATTGAGTCTGTCTATCAATCCCACGAGTAATGAGCGAACTCCCAAAATCTGAAAAAGTTCTATCCTATTAGTTTTTAGTTTAGCTTGAATGTTTGAGTTTTAGTGGTTTTAAAAGTATCTAAACTTAATTTTTACAACGTTGAAAATCCTAGTATAAATTTATGAGGGAATCAAACGATTAAGAGTATCTCCTCTGATTTGGGTCCTAAAAGCCTGAGGTTAATAAAGTGACAGGATTAATGATGACAATCATGAATAAATCTCTCCTTAGTCCTTCCTAATGACAATAAAAAAATATGGACAACAAGCTTGTTTGCTTTCCTCATTCAAGTGAAAATCTCAGTATTCAGTATTTTCCAACAAGATTGCACAAACCTAAAAGTAATATTCTTATTCTCCTACTTTAATGAGTTTAACCTAGTTGTTCTACTAAAGATTTTTCCAAAATTAAAAGATCACTAGTTTTAACTTAACTGGTCAGGTTGAATGTAAATAAAGATTGAAAGGTAAAAACTTCACCACAACAATGTTTCACATAAGTTAAATACACGAAAATTAAATCCTAGAACCTCTACTCATCAAATCAGAGGAGAAAAAAGAATTAGTAACTAATCATGTTTTCAAATAACATGTAACATATCTTATTACTCAAAAGTAAATATAGTACACAAGTTTAGAAACAAAAACCATGATAGATTACATCCTTGATTTGCAATTTCGTTATCCACTCATCCTCTTCATAGTTCATTGACAATCACTAAGACTAGCCGACCTATCTCCCAAATCATCTCTCTAATTTATATTCACAGCCACCCTCACAATCTCTCTGACTCTCTCCCTGACAAAATTTTGCTCCTTTACAGATTGAGAAGAACACGAGAGAAACACACATAGCGTCTACACAGTGAGCGAGAGAGTCCCACTCAGCCTTCGAAATTTTCCTCTTAAGTCCTTTCATGCCACGCGAGGTATCTACGTCAAATGAAACCATCCTAACTCTCAGAGCAGTTAGCCGACACTAGAGTTCTGCCATAGAGCACCAACATTTTCCTCACTTGATGTCTCCTTCCTCAAAGTGTTCCTGTAGGGAGCACCTTGGCGCCACAGATGTCTATTTTCTGGTGTGGCTCCTTGACACCACTGGAAGTAGCGCTTAAGTGTCAGCCTCTCAGTTTGGAGTCGGGGTATATACACCACTAAGTGGGGTAGTCACATCACTCTGGTGTGGCTATGCCAGCTTTGGGTGTAGTTATGCCCGACTTCAAGCACTTATGCGCCATAAATGTGGCACCTCTATTCCATGCTTTTGGTTGGATTCTGTGTGGGAAGCTCCTTGCATGTTACTTTTGGTGAGAAATGGGATGCTTCCTTTAAGTTTAATGTATTGTTAAGCTTTCATTAGTACCTGTATCCTATAATTGCACATAAAAATAACTGTAAAAGCATAAATGTGATAAATAGTAGAGGAAAATGCATGAAAAGGTAGACAAATATAACACATTTTAAACGCATCATGTTTTATTCAATTTCTAGAGGATCTTGAAAGGTCCATTTGCTCTGGATTTGTGATGCTCAAAGATTTCATGAGACACCTCTCTTTCTTCAATCTGATTCACACTAGATCTCCCTTCGAAAAAATCACCTTCCTAGTTTTATTATTTTGCTCCTGGTACTTGTGGTTCTGCTTGGCGATTCCTTTCCCACGTCTTGATGTAACCTCCGAATCTTCAGCACCCCAGTCTCAAAATCCACACTAAGCTCTGAAGTAGGAATTATATCTCAAGTGGGGTGAGTGGATTGTGCCCTTACAGAATCTCAAAGCGAGTATGCTCTATATTCTAACTCATATACCTATCGTAAGCAAATTTTGCTTGGGCTAGAATTAGATCTCACTGTTTGATGTTCTTCCCTATAAAGCACCTTAGGAGATTCCCCATACTTATGTTCACTACCTCTGTCTAATCATCTGTTTGTGGGTGAGCTGCTGAACTGAACTGAAGTTTATTACCGCTAGCTACCTCCATAAGGTCCTCCAAAAGTGACCCATGAGTTTAACATATCTGTCAGAAGTAATGGTCATTGGTATCTCATGTAGTCTCATTATTCTCGGAAATACAAATCAGTTACATATGATGCATTCAATTTCCCATGAAATGAGCCATCTTTGAAAACCCGTCAACTACTACCATCACTCAATTCTTATTCCTTTGTGCCTTAGGAAGGCCCACAACGAAAACTGGTATTGGTAATGATGTATATAGCTCTGTATTCTGCACCGCAGTTTTTGTTAGGTGACATTCTGCACTGCCTGACATACCTCTCCACATCCCTCATTAGGGGTGTAAATGAGCCAAGTTTAAGCGAGGGATCAACTTTTGTTCAACTCGTTAAAAAGTATTATTGTTTGTGTTCGGCTCATTTATACATTGAGCACAAAAATTTTGTTTGTGTTCGCTCGTTTGCTTAGCGAGTATAACACAAGCTGTTTGCGAACAATGAGTCTTTTTGACAACTCTAGCACACATTTGTAGGATATTATGGGTAGTGGTGAGATTTAAATCATATTATTTATATTAACATTTTCATTTAAATAGAATTTAATATATTTTTATTTTATTTTTTAATTAATTATTTTAATTGATTATAAATCATTGTGGCCTTGTAGTCAATTAAATTATTTAAAAATAATACTCATCAATTATATATATATATATATATATATATAATTTAATTATTTCGAGTCAAAACGAGTTGAACACAAACAAAAAAATCTTTGTTCTTGTTCGGCTTGTTTATTTATCGAGCTCAGCAAAGTTATTTGTGATCGACTTGTTTGCTTAGCTAACAAATCGAACACGAGTTACTTAATAAGCCAAACACGAGCTGTTTGCGAACAACGAGCCGTTTTGACAGCTTATCCTTTGCTTGTCTTGGTCATAAAAATGTTTCATCATAAATAAGAGGATATTGTCTCTTCCAAAATGACATGTTGATCCCTCGCTGTGATTTCGTTGCATCGGTTCCTAAGGGATAAATTAGTCTTTTATTAACCTAAGGATAATTTAGCCTTTTATTATTTATAATTGTTTAGTATAAATAGGCCATAATAGGTTTAGGGTTAGGTATGCGTGAGATTATTTTTGTATGTTTTATGTTTAGCGTTTTGGCGAGACAGCCTCCCTCTTGAATTGTAGGATTTGGGAGAGATCGGCTACCTCTCAAATTGTAGTTGCTTATATTATGTATTCGTGTTGAGTGTTTTGGATTATTGAGGAAAAAATTTGCTTTACCATAATTTCTGTGGGAAATTGTGCATATTTTTGTGTCGAATCATTTCATAGTGGTTTCAGAGCTCTCAATTCCCGAGCTATCAACAACTACATTGCTCAATGCAGCATCTGTATTCTTCGACACCGATCTCGCGATACAGTCACAATTAGAGCTTGCAGAGAAGACAGCGATGGGGTTGCAACTTGCAGAAAACCGAAAATTCCTTCTTTTTTCGCGGAGAAGGTAACGACTGGATTGCAACTTACAAAGATCTGTAACTCCCATCTTTTGCCTCCTGCTTTCGACAGTTGCGATCAATGCTACCTAGGAAGGCGCTGACAGGATTGCAACCTACAGAGGCCTGAAACTACATCTTTAGCCTCCTCCCGCTCCGTTTTGAAGATCGTGATATACAATGATCCGAAACTCCTGTGCTTACTAGGAAGGCGATGAAGGATCTTCTGACTCCTGTGTAGACTGACGAGTTAAGCTTGTTGGGAAGCATCAAGATTCAAGCTGATTTTTCAATGAACCGGGTACGGAGATTGCAACTTGCCCTAATGATAGAAAAGTCGCAATTTGATCCAATTGACCGCGATCAAACAAAGATAAATAGTTTTGATTCAAATAAACTACGGGATCGCGACATACATGTTTCATAAACGACAAGAAGTAATGGTGGCAAAAAGTAGATGATTTGGATGAGAAATTAGAGGAGCATATGACCAAATCAGATCCGGAATGGATGAGCATTTCCTATCAATCGAGAGGCGATTTAAGTCCTTGGAGGGGCGCTTTTCATCTATGGAGAGCAAATTTACAATATTGGAAGAAATGATGAAGAAATTGGTCGAGTGTCACACAAACCCATAGGTCCTTGCAGTAGGATTGAGCGGCGGTGTTAGTAGCATAGTCGTGGAAGTACTTGGAAGGAATAAAGCGACATTCAGACAATTTGAACGAGCCTTGACAGACTGAATGGGGCGGTGTGTGGTTCAAGGATGGAGAAGATTGATTCAAAGGATTTTAGCTATGAACATGGAACTACAGTGGTTGTGACACAGATAGAGGGCTGCGTCCAAAGTGCCAGTGTCTTATGTTGCAGTAGCCTTTCGGGCGGAAGGCGTGGTATAGCTTATGGGGACTATGGGGTGAGACAAACTTATGGAAGGGGGGAATTCAATATGGGTCACGGAATGGAATCCAACCGCTACTTCATGGGTGAAATGAACTTCAGTTGAGAGAATTGGGGAGGAGACTTGTGCATAAGGAAGACACATGAATGGGTATGCTGAGTGGAGCATGATTTCTCGGTAAATGGGCTAAATGGGGAGAAGCTCATAGCAGAAGGGTTATATTTAGAGGGAAAAGTGCTAGCATATTTTTAGTAGAGGGAGGCTAAATACCCGATCTCCTCATGGTAGGAATTTAAGGATTACTTGTTGGAATTTTTCCTGACCATTTAGGAAGGAGACCTGCACGAGCAATTCCTTACATTGACTCAGGGAAGGACTGTTATAGAGTATATGGAGAGATTCAAGTTATTGTTAGAGCATCTGAGGGAAATTTCTAAAGCAGTATTTGAGGAAGACTTCATGAAGGGCCTAAAGCCCGAAATACGTGCTTCACTTTGTCAGTTGAAACTGCCAAGAAATTATGTTTTTTGTGTGATGAGAAGTTTTTCCTGGAACACCATTGCAAAAATCGAACATTACAGGTTCTCATAATATATGATGAGGAGGTAGGGGAGGAAAAAATAGGGAAAGCTGTCGGGGAGGAGGAGCACATTCATTTTTTTCCACTTTGAGGACAATGTATCTTTTTGGGCTGAGAGTATTATTATGCCGGTGCCTAAGGCGTAGTTGTCTTTTATTAACCTAAGGGTAATTTAGTCTTTTATTATTTATAATTGTTTTGTATAAATGACCATAATATGTTTAGGATTAGGTATGCATGAGATTATTGTTGTGATTCTTAGGTTTAGGGTTTGGGAGAGGCTTCCTACCTCTCAAATTATAGGATTTGGGAGAGATCACCAACCTCTCAAATTGCAGTTGCTTATCTTATGTATTCGTGTTGAGTGTTTTCGATTATTGAAGAAAAAATCTGCTTTGCCCTTATTTCTATTGGAAATCATGTTGATTTCTACGCCAAATCGTATTAGACTCTCTTAATGAACATATGGGAACACTCTAATCTGTTTTGGTGGAACAAATTGCCATTAAATATGTGATACTGTCTTGCAGGTCTTTCCTAATACTAATCCCAATTATCCCTCAAATCCTCATCTACCTTCTGCAGCTCCTTCACCACCTCAAATCCTACAACTCTAGCTTGCATGGAGGTGATCAGTAGGTGGCGACGACTCAAGAACTCTGTTACTCGATTCTGACTCCAACGGAAAGCAAACTTAACACAACACTAAGCTTGGGTGGAGGTGGTGTCGGCTAGGGGTTTGGAAGGTGCCAATAATAGGAACACAATCGATATGTTGTTTCAGGTAGACGACAACAATCAGGAGTTGGAGGGCAACAGCTGAGGACAAACTGCAGCTTGGCCGTTGTTCAGGTGGCTGCAACAAGGTGAAAAATTGCGAGGATGAAGGGGAGCGATGTAGGAAAAAGTGGGGGAAGAGTAGAAGAGGATACACACCACCTCAAGACCGAGATACAACTGGAGCATAATTCAAAACCCTTGTATACAACCCTAGAAGGGAATTGGAGATGTCGACGGTTATCCCAAAACAAACACTGCAAAAACTAACATTAGACACCAACAAATCAAATAAATAGTCATAGGATAACTACGAGTGACCCCACTCCTAATGGGCGGCACTCCCAATGTGAACAGAGGGCCGACCTCTAAAGTGATCAGAGGGCTAGCCGATCCTCAGAAATTTTAGACTGATCAGGTCCAAATACAGACAGTAGCATCAAATATAGTTTTCTGTCTCATCATTCATCATCGGTCTTCTAAGATTTGGTCGTGAAGGGGGTTTTCATCCCTTGACATTTCCGTGTGTTTCCGTTTTCTAGTAAACAAGTTGTAGAATGACTTTCAATTCTTAGATTTTCTTGCATTTGTTAGAAAACAATTTAATATGCCTTCTTCATTAATAGTGACTAATTTTGTTTTAGAAAGAATGAGGCCTCCTAGATGATGATATCCTCAAATAGCCGGATTAAGGGTAATGTTGAGATTGAAAAAAATGATGATGATGATGATGCTGAATTTACTAGATGAAGCTTTAGGAAGTCGTGAGCCTATGTTGAGAAGAATCTTAGTTAGCACTATATTCAAGATATACTTGTGCTCTAACACCAAATTTATAGCTCTTAACAGGAAATATTCACAAAGGTGGAAACTTTATAATTTGGATATGCTTATTTTTATTTGATGATAATTTTGTTATCATGCTGATAATGATAATTTGCAATCATGTTCTTAAATCTTTTTTATATCTTAAAATTGTTAATTATTGTTTGTTTTTACATTCATTCCATAACAGACCCTTTTTTCTTAAAACTAATAACTTGTAGGAGACATTGAGTTATTGAAGCTTTTACTTTCCAAAGGAGTAAATGTTGAGTCAGAAAGTGATGCTGGGACTCCATTAATTTGGGCTGCTGGCCACGGGCAACAAGATTCAGTGAAGGTTTTGTTGGAGCACAAAGCTAATGTAAGCTGTGATAATGGCGGTTAATATTACTCTTTAAACTTAGTATGAGGAGAATAAACATGGGATTTTTTTATTGAAGTTCATTCTTTTGTTTGTGTGAAAAAGTACAAGTACTTGCATATGCATAAATAAATTACTACCTAAGAAAAAAATAAATCTGAAATTGAGCTTAATTCTGTAATAAAAAATTAACAGCACAACAAAAATAGAAAGTAAATGACAATGGATTGCTGGATTGTTATTGTTGTATTAATATTTAACTAAAAGTGCATTTTTTTGTTTTTTTTGTTTTTTTTTTTTTTTTGTGTTTATGTTGGTGTGACTCATCAGAGAGATGAAGGTTATGGAAGAACATAAAGGGTGAGCATATGTGTGGGGACCAATTAGAGAGAGGGTGAGATGGAGGGATAAAGAGAAGGTTATCTTTGTTGAATTTCCTTCTTTTCCTTTTTAGATTTGCCACCCAATCATGAGAGCTAAAATTTGCAATTGGAGTGGGTCTCATGTCATTTTATATATATACCCTAAACCCTAAACCCTGGTTCACAAACGCAGCTCCCCTTTCCACCTCACAAATAGTCCGATGTTTCCGCAGATGTATCATGATTCTGTTGCAGGACATTGAGATTGCAATCTCATAAAAAAAGTAGAGAAAAAAACAGGCAAACCAACAATATTCTTCTCTGACACCGAAATTTCAAATCGTGCAGGAAAATACAAATTTAGACTAGTTGGAAAATTTTCAATTATGTCGCTTTATGATGAAGATTATCAGGAAGGTTTTGAAGATTTCAAACTAGTTGGAGCTTGGCAGGTGGGTTTTTTCGACAGAAGACATGTTATGATACAACTGAGCATAGAAAAAGATTATACATGGATTTTCTCAAAGAAATTCATCACAACCGAGGGCAATCATATGAAATTACTCAAATAGACCCCTGATTTTGATCTCAGTCAAGAACCCCCAATTGCACCTATATGGTTCTCATTACCATGGTTCTGTTCTCATTACCTGAACTCAAGCTTCAATTCTTTGACCTACCTATCTTATATGCAATTGGGACTATCCTTGGAGAATATTTGGAGGTAGATATACCTACTGTTCATTTCTCAAAGTCCTCTATTGCAAGGATTTTGATTGAAAGAGATATTACACTACCAGATGTAGAAGAAGTCTGACTTGACTCTGCTCACAATGGTTATTCAATGGTTATCATTATGAAACAAAAACCTTACTACTGCAAACACTGCAAGATGTTTGGACACCCGCAAGAGAAATGTTTCAGATTGCACCCACAGTTGAGAACCAATAGTTAAAAGCAGTAACATGCTGTCAGTGCACCCCACATGACTGAACGCGCTCCCAGCAAACTTGATGACAGCCAACCTAAGGAGAGAATCACCACAAGACAGAAGTTGGTATCTGCCATTGAGAACTCTTCTCCTGATCATTCTATAAGCGATAATGTTTGGACAAAAAATCATGATTGTCTCGCAGCTCCTATTCAAGAAGCATCAGCCACAAAGGTGACAATTCATAGTTCACATACGCTGGAACCTATTGCTGTGACAACGACTAACTTTCCTTCTACTGCGATTCAAATATCTAATTAGACCGAAGATCATATGAGTCAGTCTTCAGAAAAAAAATGGCAGGTTTACACTTCTCGGCAGAAGAAGAAGACTGGGGGCACACTCCAACTTGGAAACTTAATGGATTATACTTTGGTTTCTGCTGATAATGACACGCACTTCAAAGTTTGTTATCTTGCTCCGCTCCTAAAACTAGAGGAAGAGGCATGACTAAATTGGCTTGTTCCTAACTACTTTTTTTCTACATGTTTTAAATTTTTTTGAGTTTATCTGAATCTTTTTTGTTTGGGTATTGTATGAGTAGGGTGTCTCTATTGGGCCCTCTCATACAACCGTTATATATCTTTTCTATTTCAATAAAATCAGCCCTTGGGCTTTTCATTATATATATATATATATCATCGATTGCCGTGCAGAGCTCCGCTCACATAAATATTTAGATAAACAAAAAATAGCTTAAATTTATATAATATTTAAATGATGATAGTTATTCAACCACTTGATACTCACAAAATGAAGTCCAATTTGGATGTGAATAAAGTTATTTAAATCGTTTCTACAATTTAGATACGCTTGTGCAATCCATTTTGCAAAATGACGTTTAGATGAAAATATTTTACTGGGGGGGATGATTTCATGTAAAAATGAAGTCCCACGTGCATGAGTCCACTTAAAAATGCCGACAATTTGCCATCACGCTCATCAAATGTAACCTCAAACATGATGGAAAACATGATGCGTCTATTAGAAACCCAAAATCGAATTCAACAACGCGTCGTTTCCGGGGGACGGCTTAGCACTTACACAATGATGATTCATGTCATGATTTTTTCAAAAAGTTTATGCTGGCTGTCGACTATCTAACACAACCCTCCACTTTTCATATCCGGACTTGGGACTGGAAACGACAGTGCTATGCTTGTGCTAAGCCAAATGAAATTTTTTGCAATGAAAGAATTTTTTTGGTGGACATAGAGATTAATTTTTAAGTTTCGGTGCCTCAGGTGATATTGTTAAAGTAACACTATTTTTATTATTTAAAGTGTGTTTAGATTTTGAAGTAGAGCTTTTAGTGGATAGATGACTATTTTGTATCTTAAGGGATCATTTTTTTAGTAGGTAGACTCCCGATTACATCTTTGCACAGTCAAGTGTTCTTTCCTTTAGTTTACGTCTTGAAAGTGACAAATTTTAACTAATACAATTTGTTTTACTCAAGCAAGTTCGTTGATTGATAGTAAGTTATAATTTAGGTTAAACACTCGAAGCATAAAGTCAAATACCTCATAATAGAATGAGGAAATTTATTTCAACCATTTCAATAATTATCTCATTTATAATCTGGACAGTTATTTTTTGTGACTTGGGTTTTAATTGTGAATTATGCCCTTATCTTCTTGTTATTATCCTAAGAATCTGATTACTCAATACTCTTCTCTTGGATATCATACAATGCAGATGGATTTCCAATGTGTATGTTGTAGTGGGCATCGTTTTGACTATTTAGAGGAATCTTATGTTATGGCAATTTGGGTTGCTTTTCCACCTCTGTGGATTCATTACTTACCTAATTTATTTTACTTCTCTTGGCAAAATTATTGGTAAGCTGCTTCAGGTGAATATTGTCATAACCAAGACGTTCAGATTGTCTATGGATAGTGTATTGGTTGAAATGGATGTCACTACCCTTTTGAGAAAAAAAATTAAATTGGTTACACAACTGGTGACTTATTGGCAATTGGTAGTGTTTGAAGGCATTCATTTTTATTGTTGTTTTTGCAAATTTTTTGGTCACTTCTTTTGATGCTTCATGGCACACAAAAAATCCCCAAGCCATTGTATAGTGGTGGAAATTTATATTATAAAAACCTTTCTTCTGATGCAATGGTGGTAATTTCAACTACTTCTGATCTGATTTGTAATCAAAGTTTTGAATCAACTTTAGTTCTTGCATCGGAATAAGTGCATTTCCGTGGTGCTAGCCCAACGGTAGGGATTGACCCTACACTTGAATGATTAGTGATCTAGACCATTATTGGGTTGTTGCTTATGATGATTTTTCTGTTGTTGGGGATCTAGACTTTCTGTCTGTTGGCTTTAATATTAGCATTTCTAGACCATAAGAGCTGGCTAATAAAATGTTTGGAATTATGTGTCCCTGAGGGAGAAGGAAAAATAAAATTCATTATCACTATCTAAAATATACCAAGTTTCAAGCTTGACGTTCTTGTTGAGGAGGTGGTTCATTTGCGAGCTACTAGCCTTGTCAGTATATTTTCTTTTTAGTTAAACTTTTCTTTTAGTAATATTTTGTAGTTGCTTTGTATTTTACTCTTTTTAATGACTGATGATAAAATTTGTTGTGTTTAAAAAAATGTTCCCATTCAAAACATTTTAAGCTGTAATGCTTAAGGTTGAGGGAGGCTCCAACAGTTAACTTTTTAGATCGTTTTTCTTGATGTGCTAGACGAAGAAATGTCTATTTCGATTAAATTCAATAGGCATAAGCATATGTAATCATCTATCTATGGTTGACAGGCATGGATATTTGTTATCATCAACAAATGTTGTTGCTCATGGAAAGAAAGGGAAATTTACATATATTCGACACAATTCTTTGATATTTACACTTATAACAGCTTGGCTTCACCTATGCATGAACAGATGTATTTCCCTTTTAAAAGATAGTGATGGTGGTATTTTTGATATGATGTTTAAGATTTAAGTGGCATGCACGTAAATATGAATGTTTAGGTGTTAGATTTGTGAATACATAAGAATTTTGTGGTATGTAACTATGTATTTAAATGCCCCTAGAAAAAAATATAGTTGTTAAGTGGCTGCTACCAAAGTAATCCTTATATCTAATTGCTTTCTCCCAGTTAAGCAGGTCATCTTTCTTATCTCGTTTGTCTATGTTTTTAAATTTAGATAATTATGGATTTGGTTGCAGCCTAATGCAGAGACCGAAGATGGTATTACCCCACTTTTGTCTGCTGTTGCTGCTGGATCGCTATCATGTCTGCAGCTTCTGATTGAGGTACTTGTACTAGTGAAATATAGAAAACTTCATGAAATAATGTAAGGTGATTGCAAACTTTTTTGGATTTATTTCATATAGGTTTTTGCTTTGGTTGTCAAACTTCTTATTTTCAAGTGCTCAAGTTTTGTTTTCTTAAATTTAACATGCAAATTTTTGTTTTATGTAGTCAATTTTAGTAGGCATGATAGTTCTATGCTAAGTGAACAATCTAATGTAATTCAAGGAACTTATTGATTGAAGAATATGATAAATTGTCACGTCTTGACTGCTATAATGTAACTACAAGGAGGCTTAATTTTCTTGTGGCATTGCATCATGTCGTCTATTTTTAAGAGACAATGTAAATATCTGCTTATTTCCGATTAACTTATGACTCTCTGACTAGATAGATAATTGTATTTCTTCTGAAGAGTTTGCTCTTTGAAAATTTCCTTGGTAGCTGGTTGAAAACATGAAACATCAATGATTTTATTTAAAGCAAGGCTTTTTCAATATAATTTGTTTTTCCTATGTAGCTTTTAGTTTCGTTTAGCCAGTTACTCCTTTGGTTGTAGAATTGTGTTTCTTGCTCTTATCTCTATCATTTCCTCTTAATTTACAACTTTTTTTTTAATGAGCTAAACTGCTGAAGTGACTAATGCGAATTTCCATAAACTGCACTATCAACCTTCATTGGAAACTGTAGAAAATAAGCAATGAAAGAAAAAAAAATCTTACGTCTCTCATTTACATCTTTGTACAAGAGGGCAGATATATATTCAACTCTCATAGGCATTATAAAATTATAAGGAGGAAAAAATATGGAAGGGCGGCGATCCTACGAGTAAGCACACATATTAGAATTATAGGGTCATAAAGAGATAGATCTAATGGTACAAAATCTTAATTTATGTGTTTTTAAGTTTTTTTCTATGCAAGGTTCATAAGTAAATAGATTCAACAATACAAAGACTTGTTTTGTGTGCATTAAACTCTTTGTTATGATTGGAACAAAAATACAACACCCCCTCAAATTAGATGGTAGAGATATTTCATTCTCAGTTTGCTCATGATATTCTTAAATATTGGGTTGCAAAGTTTTTTAGTGAATATGTCAGCCAGTTGATTTCTTGTGAACATATATGGAGTGCAAATCAAACTATTTTCCAATTTCTCTTTTATAAAGTGTATATCAATCTCAACATGCTTGGTACAATTATGTGGTATTTATAGGATTTTGTGTAGTATTGATGGCTGATTTGTCATCACAATATATTTTTATCGACTTAAATTTTTAAATCTTTTATAATTTTAACCCATAGAATCTTACTAATTCCTTGAACAATGTCTCTAAACTCGGCTTTAGCACTTGATCTTGAAATCATGGGTTGTTTTTGCTTTGCCAAATTCTGTGATTTCTTCCTAAGAATGTATAATACCTTGAAATAAACCTATCCACTGGTAATCTAACATAGTATGCAGTTGTGTATCTTTCAGCTTGTATGGTATTGTGTCCTTTGCATAATTTTTTTTTCTCGTCTTGATTTGAGATATTTGTGTATTTTATAAGTTTGTGCATACAACAACAACAACAACAAAGCCTTAATCCCATTATGTGGGGTCGGCTACATGAATCATTTTTCTCCATTGCGTCCTATTTAGTGGCATATTTTCATTTAGTTCTAATAAATTGAGATCATTTTTTATACAATAAGCTCAAGTCTTCCTAGGTCTACCTCTTCCTTTCTTAACATAAGTCGAATCTAAAACATCTACTCTCCTAATCGGATCATCAGATGGTTGATGCTTAATGTGACCAAACCATCTACGACGACTCTCCTAATCGGATCATCATTATAAGTTTGTACATGAATTGATTAATTAGACTTACTGCGAATGCATTTTCCAGACGAAGCGTGGGATAAGTAAATTAATTTTCTCACTAATATTATATATTGTCTTGTATCTACATTAGTTCCATTAATTTACAATTTTTATCCTGGTTCAGCTGGAGTTTCACACTAGTTGCACTGTACATATTGATCTCTTTTGGTAGATTCATTACATATTTCTGTTGGGAGAGAATATGTTTTGTTTAGATTGAGTCAATTTCATTCCCAAAAAAATATTTGAGTTTTTACTAACTCTTTAATTTAAAATTCTTTTGCAATTTTTTTTAGAGCTTTTCTCTTAATTGTCTTCTCTTGTAACAGTCATATTATCAACATACATAATAAAGATTGAGATTTTACCATCAAGAGATAACAGATTGAGATTTTACCCTCAAGAGAGTGTTATGAAGAAAGTATAGTCTCTTTAATTCTGTTTGTTTCTAGTTCCTTTCATAGCTTTTGTAAATCTGCCAAATCAAGTTCTTGGTAATTGGTTTAGTCTATATAGGGTTTTTTTCAGTCTACATACTTAATTCTTTTTAAAAGTGCTATGAAAATCTGTTGGTAGATCCATATAGACCTTTTTTTGATATCACCATATAAGAAATAAGTTTTTACATCATATTGCTATATCAGCTACTTATAATATGTTGCTAGGGATATCAAAATACGATTAGCATCTTTAACATAACAAAACATTTTTGATAATCAATCTCATATGATTGCCTATAGCATTTTGCTTCTAATCTTATTTTTTACCTTTCTTGACTTCCATCTATTTTGTATTTGAGCATGAAAATTCATTTGCATCCTACTGTTTTCTTTCTTTCTGGTAATTCAATGATCTCCCATGTATGATTTTTTTCTAAGGCATTCATCTCCTCTCATAACTTCTAATTTTTATTTTCAAATGCCCTAAAAAAATGAAAATATAATTTGGTGTTGATGTTGGTTAGAAATGTTTTATGATAGAGAGATTTTATAAAATGAGGTGTATTGAGAGATATGATATAAATAAGTGGTAGTAGATTGAATAGTGTTACCTGATAGCTCTTCGAAGTTTTGGACTTGTTGGAGATCTTGGTTGAGCTTATTTTTTACTGTATAGACCTGAAGGGGAACAATTGATATAAAGTTTTTAGTTGAAGGAATTTCTGTTATAGAAATGTCGAGATAAGAAATATCATCAAGATGGGAATTCTCCCCCTAAAGATGACTTTGAGGTAAGGAGCTATGGGTTTCATTGAAAGTGGCACCCATTGAAGTGATTTTTTTTTTATGGCTAGATGATGGCACTTATACATTTTTTGGGTGACAAAATATTTGATAAATACACAATTGAAGCTCTTGGGTCAATTTTTCTTCTATATTTTTTATGGATATGAATATAATGCATCCAAACCTTTTTAGAGGTATATGTGAGAAGTTATTTGTAAGAAAGAATTCTATTAAATAATATGATGAACTTTTGGAACCAATTTGTCATGAGGGTATTCTATTAATTAAAGAAGTATTTATTAGAACAATTTTTTCCTAATATTAATTTGGTATTTGATTATGTAGGTAAAGTGTCATAATTATCTTCAGAAGGTGATATTTTTTTATGTTGCTCTATTTTGTTGGAGAGTTTCACATAGGAATATTGGTGGATAATATTCTCTTTTTGAAAGAATGATTTTAATGTGATTAAAATAATCATGAGCATTATCAATTTAAAAATTTTTGAATGAATTTTTAACCATGACAGAGAATATGGGGAGTATAGTGGCAACATCATCTTTTTATTTAATTAAATATACTCATTTCTTTCGAGTGCAGTCATCAAAGATTGGTGGATAATATTCTCTTTTTGAAAGAATGATTTTAATTTGTGATTAAAATAATCATGAGCATTATCAATTTAAAAATTTTTGAATGAATTTTTAACCATTACAGAGAATATCGGGAGTATAGTGGCAACATCATCTTTTTATTTAATTAAATATACTCATTTCTTTCGAGTGCTGTCATCAATAAATATAACAAAACCTATGGCTCCAGAGATATTGGGGATTTTATAGGGCTCCTATATATTAGAATAAATTAATACAAAAGGACTATAAGATCTAGAGTTATTTTCAGGAAAGGGATCACACTAATGTTTAACAATTATTGAAGTTTGAAAATGAAAAATATGATGTTTGGATTTAGAAAAGGGAAAGAAACTTATAGTGAAGATTTGTATAAAAAAGATGTTCTAATTTATGATGATGTGTTTAGATTTTGTTGATGGTATAAGTGGTGGAGTATAATAGTTACCCTTAATATTCAATAATGTGGAACTCATTCTTTTCTCTAGCTTGCCCGATTATCTTTCCGTTAATGAAACCTTGAAACCCAATAATCAGTAAGAAATATGATTTGGTATTTGTTGTTTTTAAGTTAGTAAATATACAAAATGTTAATTGCAAGTTATCTATAGGGCTGCCAAAATGGCTCGTTCTTTGATAACAATTCTTGTTTGGCTCGTAAAGAAGCTTGTATTCGATTCATTCACTAAGTTAATGAGCCAAACACACATTTTTTTTTTGTGCTTGATATATAAACGAGCCAAACACGAACAATGATTTGTTTGTTCGTGTTCGGCTTGTTTTGGCTCAATATATATATATAT